TATAACGTTATCTTCTTACAAAAATTGGAGTAGTCAAATGAATCAACCTCAAAACAAAAAGTAATATTTTTACTAGGAGTTGAAGATGGTTGTGGTGGTGTGATGATTTGATTTGTTTGATTTGTTTGATTAGTATTGGTGAGGGGGGTAGGTAGTTGAAAATTAATGAATGGGTCATATTCTTCTAAAACGCTCAATCTTTTGAGCAGCACCATGATTAATTTTATATGAGCGATGTACAAAAAAAAAGATGTGAAAATAAAATTGAAAAACAACAAAAAAAAAAAAAAAAAAAAAACCACAATAAAAAAAAAAATACTGAAGTGTGTGAAATGAAAAATGAAGTGTGTGAAATGAAAAATGAAGTGTGTGAAATGAAAAAAGAGAAAAAAATGTTAAAGATATAGTTTTAAAAAAATATTTATTTGTAACTACTTACTTGAAAAATAATTATTTGTTGAATAAAAACATTGATTTCAATTTCTAGAGCGGTATAAATACCCTTCTGTATGAAAATTTAACATTATTTAAAATTTATTTTAATTAAAAATAATAATATTTGTCAAATAGAAAAACAATTTTTTGTCAAAATGAAAACCATCAAAATTTTTTTTGATTTTTGCAAAAACTACCAAAAAACAATCACTTTTTTTTTGCCAAAATGCTCAGATTCCCAAATTGCTGATCCTTACAGTTTTGGGAATTTGGAAAAAAAAGAAATCGCAGCCGTGTTGTATGGTCCTATTAGTCTATTCAGCAGTTTAGTGGAGGTGTCTAACTGGCGTTCGTATGATGACGGAAATGCTTTACGTCTAACTAATACCTTCTGGTCGACGTAGAATGGTGGTCGTTGTTCGTTGTTGTCTTCGATTCTCTTAGATTGCTTGTCTTGTGATTCGAGGATGTTGTCTTTGGCGATGGAGTGGTATCTCTGTACTTCCTTAATGTGGTCATCTAGCGTCTTGTTGGAGAATGGTTGGTTCATTGAGAGTGGTGTTCGTGGATGGTAGCCGTAGTTAATGAAGAATGGTGTATGACCTGTTGATGCATTAACATTGGAGTTGATGGCGAACTCGAGTGATTTCAAATTGGTGTCCCAATCTTCCTTGTGTAGTGATCGTCGGATTCTGTCGAGTAGTGTTCTTATCAGTCGTTCGGACTGTCCGTCGGTCTGTGGTCGTGCAGGCGTTGATATGTTCAACTTGGTTCCGATCTCTTTCATTAGCTCTTTGTAATAGTTGGAGGTGAATAGTTTATCACGGTCGGAAATGATCTTGGATGGCAATCCAAAATTGACAAAGACATTGTCATGGAATAGCTTAGCAAGTCCTTCAGCGGTGAGAGTGATTGTAGTTGGGACTAGCTTGACCATTTTGGAGAGTAGGTCCACAAAAACGAGTACAGTATCATGGCCATTCTTAGTCATGGGCAATTTAACAAAGTCCAGTGATATGGTATCCCAGGGTCTCGTCGGTGGGGTATGTGGCGTGATGAAGGTTTGCTTCTTGTCGAGTTGGTTGGTCTGGCAGCTATGGCAACTTCTTACGTAACTCTCAATAGTTGCAAACATGGCTGGAAATCTATAGAACTGTCTCAGTTTCGAATATGTATTATTGGCATCAAAGTGTCCCGTATATGGTGCGTCGTGTGCTTCTGCAATTAGCTGTTGGATGACTGTTGGGTCGGTGACTAAGAGTCGTCGGTCGTCACCATCAATCTGGTAGCTTAGGTTATTGATGTCAATCACTTTAACGTCGGTTCTTTTCTTTAGAGAGACTATGAAGTCGGTCTTTTGTTCTTTGACACGCTTGGTCAGCTCCTCTGGCAATGGGTTTTCGTAGTCTTCTCTTCGTGATAGCGCGTCAGCGGCTAAGTTGTCAGTACCGGCTATATGGATAATTTCATGGTTAAATTTGTTAAGAAAATTTATCCATCGTATCTCCTTTGGCGATATTCGTTGTTTTGTATGTATAAAAGAAAGATTTTTATGATCAGTAAATATCTTAATAGGATTATCTATTAATAAATATTCGTATTTAATTAATGTATCTATTATAGCGAACAGTTCTCTTGAAGTTGTTGGCAAGATTCTCTGAGCATCGTTTAGTTTCTTCGAGTGGAATGCGATAGGAACAAGGTTATTGTTTTCGTCTCTTTGGTTGATCGTAGCTCCGATTGCAATGTTGCTGGCGTCAGTGTAAATCTCGAAAGGCTTGCTGGGGTCGGGTATACTCAGGGCGGTTGCGTTGACCATGGCAACTTTCAGTGCTTCAAATGCGGTGGCTTCTTCTGGAGTCAGTTCGATATTACCTTTCTCTTTGGTTCGGTCATATAGTGGAGCGGCGATTCGAGCATAATTTGGTACTCTATTTCTGTAGTAGTTGGTTAAACCTAGGAAACGTTGGAGGTTCTTGACGGTTGTTGGTAGTGGAAACGATACTATGGCGTCGATCTTGTTGGACTGTGCGAATGTTTTTCCATTACCGATCTTGAATCCTAAGAGTTCTACCTTTGTTTGGAACATTTGGCATTTGGATTTCTTTAAATAGATCTGATTTCTTCTTAGTTTTTGTAAGAACCCTCGGATATCCTTTTCATGATGATCTATGTCCTCAGACCCTACGAATAGATCATCAAAGTAGTTGGCATCGTTGTTGTCTTCTTGGCTCAAGATCTCTTGGACGGCGGCGGCGAAAGCACTCGGACTTTGGCTGGTTCCGAATGGGAGTACTACGAATTCCCATAGGGTTTCACCATCGGAGAAAGCTGTTGTCGAACAGGTGTCTGGATGTAGAAGGAATTGAAAATAGCCTTCTACCATGTCGAAAATTGAAATCCATTTGGCGTGGAACAGTTTATTCAATCTGTCATCTATTCTCGGGATTGGAAAGGAGATGGGTAGGGTGTTTGCTTTGGCGACTCGGAAATCAATCACAAGTCTTCCTTCTCCTGATTTCTTTGGTACTACATGGCAACTAGCGGAGTGTGGAGCGGTGGATTTCCTGATGAATCCTCTTTTGTACCAGTCTTGACAAATCTGTTGGGCTAGTGTCTTCTGTTTCGGACTTTTGTGGTATTGAACACCGATCATTGGTTTCTTGTCGTCAATTAGCTCGATCTTGTAGTCTGTCTTTCTTTGTGGAGGAACGAAACCTTCTGGTAGCTTCTCTACAAAGAGATCTTTGAAGTCTTCAAAAATCTGTTTCTCTCTTTTACGTGCGTCTTGGAATTCTAAAAGGAGCTTCATTACTGACGGGTGTCACAGTAACTAATATAATCGCGTAAAAGCTTAGCATTATGATTTTTTTTTTTTGCGTATTAGCAAAATACCTTTTTTGGATGTATGGGGAGTCTTTTTGATTGATTCGTTGAAAGAAAATTAAAAAATCAAAATACTTTTTTTTTAAAATATTATTTAGGTGTCACATCCCATACAAATGCTAAAAATCATTCAAACCCCCACAAAAGTATCATAATATGAAAGAAATTGATGGGTGTTCAATACAAACGACATCAAAAAGTAAACTGAAAATAATTTTTGGATAAAATATTCTTTATTTTATTTATTTAAAAAAAATTAATTTAAATTGTGATTTATTTTCTATGTTATTTTTAATAAAATATTAAAAACAATAATTAATTTTAATAATTTTTCATTTTTACTAAAATAATTTACAAAGTTTATGCAAATAAAAATAATAATATTAA